GCTGCCCAGATCTCTTTCTTGGTGAAGTGTCTGTTCATGTCCTTGCACTCCTCTACTTTGGCTAGGCTCTGTAAAATGCACTTTTCACATAACTTTTATCTTCCCTTTAACTTTGTGAGTTCAGTGAAAATTTTCTCCTTTTACAGTAGATAAAGGCTCATGGTCAAACAGCTGGTGTCAGTAATAGTTGGTCTGTGTCATTCTACTTTCATTTATCCTAGTACAGTTAGAGTGCTGGGAATCATTTTATAATGTTTCACTTTCTCAAGTAAGAAAGATTGTCTGCTGTCTTTTTTCAACCATCCGTTCTTTTTGTACTCACAAAGTTAAATTTTTGATGATTGCTAAATGAATTTTGCTATGTTCCTTTTTTAAAAGTCTATTGTAGTATGTATCAATGAAGATTTGCTCTGTATTTATGGACTTAATGCAGTTGGGTATTTGTAGATGCATAATTTTCAGACAATCACAGTCATCATAAATAAATGGACTGCATTAAGTAAGGAATTAATGTGAGCTCTTTTATTAGTATGTTATCAGGTGGTTCCGATGGTGTGATTGTACTTTATGACCTTGAAAACTCCAGCAGACAACCTTACTACACCTGTAAAGCAGTGTGTTCCGTGGGCAGGTGTGTATTTAAATATGTGATGAATGAATATATTAATAGTTGAGTGGTTTTTAAATCAAATGCAAAATATGAAAATAGTAGTAATATGAATGGCTCAAGCAAATTATTGATACATGGGTAACCTTTGACACTACCTTTAAAAAATTAAGTTCAATTTAGATGTAGTTGTTCTTAACATGTGACTTTGCAACTTTAGTATCAATTTTCAAAGACATTTTAGTTGAAGACTTGACTATGTCCTTTTTGACTTATAGCTACATAGTGCAACTCAGTAAATACTACAGTGTTTAGGATCACTTGTTATAAGATTCATTTGTCAGTCTTTTAGCTAGTAATAAATACAATCTAAGTTGGATTTATCAACTGATATTGTTAAAAAAAATTAAGAGCTAGATGTAATAAATGTTTGGGCAGACCCTCCCTGCCACCCACATACACTACATACATATTCTTGCCTCTCTACTCATCATAAACCATTTTAAAAAATATACCTCAATTTATTCTGATATTTCTGATTATTCTTTACCAGTTTACCAATTTTTTGTTGTTGCTCATAAAAAAACAAGTAGGACATTAGCCAATTCAACATTTTTTACAGTTTCAATTCAGTAACATTAATCATGTTGTGTAGCTATCAGTGTATCAGCTTACCAATCTTTGAAGAATTATTTTTTAAGTTCTAATAAAATGTGTGCTTTGTTGTAGTTTGTTCATGTTGTTGTTGTTAAGTGCCGTTGACTCATAGCCACCCTGTATAGGACTTCTGAGGAATGGCGGGTGACTTTGAACCACTGACCTTACTGTTCATACCAACCTTGTGGGCCAATGCTTATCCTGCACCACCACACCAGGACTCCAGTTTGTTAATAGTGATTATTTCATTCTTTGTTGTCAATTATGTATAGTCTCATATTGAGCCAACCATTGAATTAACAGAGAGAATGAGTGCAAAGAAAATGGTTTCAAGAGGAAGAACTTCCTCACAGTATCAGCAACCACTGTGTATTAAAGCATCTCTCAAAGCACTATGAGCTTAATTCCAAGGACTATTTGCAAGAAGATTGATTGTATCCTGCTCTTGGCACTTCACTTTGGAAATAGAAATTTCACATAACCAGTATCTCTGAGTTTCAGATATTTTTGTCTTGAATTCAAGATAATTGCACTTGCTCTGCTATTTTTTTACAAGGTTTCTGTGAGAACTCAATGAGAATTTATTGTCTTTTAAAGAGCACTTTGAAGACTGCAAAACCACTGTGTAAATGAAGAGTGTTCAAGTTGTTTTTTAAAAAGTAAGTTATAAAGAACCTTATTGTAAAATAAGGTCATGCCTCAAATACTTTGAAACTGGATTTCAAGAGGTTTAGATGACTTACACCCCTGATAAAGAAACAGACATTCTAAATTCTAAAATAGAAAGCCTTTGTATTTTAATTAGCTTAATTTATTTTTATTTAATTGCATCCTGGATAGCATTTTAACATTAAGTTTAAATTGTTAGGTAACAAAACAGTCTTTTCCTATGTTCTATATGCTGTAGAGGAGCTCTGGTGCGGCACTGTAGGATAAGTAAACACTGGACCACAAGGTCAATTTGAATCAAAAGGTCAGAGGTTTAAACTCACCAGCTTCTCCTGGGAAACCCAATACAAGGTCATTATGAGTCAGAACTGACTCCATGGCACTTAACAACAACAACATATGCTATAGAATACTGTTCTGTGGGAAGTAAGCTCTGCTTTATTATGTTGTGTAAATTCTTAGTGTGCCAAGAATTTATTTTATTGACTTTTTTTTCTTGAATTCAAATTCCATTTCTTTAAAGTGTGAGTTCAGATGTGTAGTGGGCAAGTTTATAAAATGAGTTTAAATAGCAGGTAGCTCTGGTAGCGTAGTGGTTACGAATCGGGCTGCGAACCGCGAGGTCATCAGTTCGAAACTACCAGCCGCTCCGCAGGAGAAAGATAAGGCGGTCTGCTCCCGTAAAGATTTACAGCCTTGGAAACCCTGTGTAGGGTCGCTATGGGTCGGAACCGACTCCACGGCACATAACAACAACAACAGCAACAGCAGCAGCTTTACACTCCAAGAGTTTATCATCTGATTTTAAAAAATCATTTCAATAAATATTGTTATTTATGTGCTTTAATTCAGACTATCTCCTGCTGTTTATTCTGGATACATTTACTGCATTTGCTCTTAAACACCAAAAGAGATTCCTTTCCTCGACCACATTTTTTTTCAATGTGAATGAAACACTCTCCCCTGGTCCTGGACATCTAGGGCACAGGCATGAGATCTAGAGTTAGCTACTCGTACCATCCTCCCTGAGTCGTCTGCTTATTGCTAAGGGTAGTACCAGTCTTGAAATTCATATGTCAGAGCTAACGTTTGCGTGCTGTTTTGTAGAAGTCACCCGGATGTTCACAAATACAGTGTGGAGACTGTGCAGTGGTATCCTCATGACACTGGCATGTTCACCTCAAGCTCATTTGATAAAACTCTGAAAATTTGGGATACGAATACATTACAGGTAAGTACATTCGTACATTCAGACCCTTCCACACTGCTCTGTATGGTGGAGAATGTAATCCTAAATCAGGGCGATGAGTGTTTACTATGATGTCATGTATGCTAAATGTCCAAACTAAAGGACGGTTATGGAGGGTTTGTTGTTGTTCAGTTCTGTCAGGCTGATTCCAACTCAGAGCAACCCTACATAGGGTTTCCATGGACTGACAGCTGGGTTTGAGCTACCAACCTTGTGGTTAGCAGTCCAGTGTTTATACTTAGCCTACAGCACCACACCAGGACTCCTAGGGGAGGGCTAGCCTCCTGCAGTTCATACGTTGGCTCTGCTGCTGACTAGCTGTATGATGTTGGGTAGAAGTCTAGACTTCTCTGTGTCTGTTTCCTCATTTGTAAAGGGGGAAGGAGAGGTGAATAATTGTATCTCAGAGATGGTTATGAGGATTACATGAACTGAGAAATGAATTAATAGAAGCTATATTAAAAACTTCTGGTTGACTCTGTAGGACAAGCACTGGACTGCAAACCACAAGGTTCACACCCACCAGAAGCTCCTCAGAAATCCTGTACAGGGTTGCTATAAGTTGGAATCCACTTGACAGCACTTAACAATAATAACATATATTTAAAACTAAGTTTTTCCCATTGATAGGAGATTAATCCAGCTTCCTTCCCCAGATCACTACACCATACTAACTTTAAAATAATAAAGAGAATCGCTATGGATAATGACATAGGTAGTCTACCACTCATCTGTCTGTTTTGTCATAATATGGTGGCTTCTGTGTTGCTGTGATGCTGGAAGCTATGCCACCAGTAATTGTAAATGCCAGCAGGGTCATCATGGTAGAGAGGTTTCAGTTGGTATTACAGACTAAGATAGACTAGGAAGAACGGGACACTGGCTGCCTTATGAATAGTTAAAACGTGATCAAGAACACCAAAATATTGTCAGCAGCAATGGGCTCAAGCATCACAATAATTGTGAGTGTGGCGTAAGACCGGACTTGTTTAATTCTGTTGTGCATAGGGTTGCTATGAGTCAGAGCTGATGCTACGCCACCTAACAACATCAACAGTACAGGTAGTGAGTAGATAATAGGTTACAGTGTTACATGCTTAGCTGCTAACTGACAGGTTGGTGATTTGACTTCCCAATCATTGGTTCCATAGGAAAAAGACCTGTCGATTTGCTTCTGTAAAGATTACAGCCTAAGAAAGCCTATGTTGTTGTTGTTAGGTGCTGTGGAGTCGGTTCCGACCCATAGTGACCCTGTAAAGGGTTTCCGAGGCTGTAAATCTTTACGGGAGCAGAAAGCCTTCTCTTTCTCCCGCATAACAACTGACCTTGCGGCTTGCAACCCAATTCGTAACCACTACACTACCAGAGCTCCTTAAGAAAGCCTATAGGAAAGTGTTAGTCAGTTATATAGGGTTGCTATGAGTCTAAATCAGCCAGCTATAGCTGAACTCAGATAAAATTTGTATTTCTCTGAGCTCTAGTGCCAAATATTCTACCTGTTTTCAGAACATCTCCACTTGAATGTAGTGTCTTCTCAAAGGTAACACCTCCTTTTTATATAAGCATATCTCATTTTATTGTACTTCATTTCATTGTGCTTTCTAGATAGTGCATTTGGTACAGAGTAAAGGTTTGTGGCAACCCTGTGCCGAGCAAGTCTGTTGACGCCATTTGCCAACAGTATGTGTTCATTTCATGTCTCAGTCGCATTTTGGTAATTCTCAACAATATTCCAAACAGCTCATAATATTAAGACATGCCTAATAGACAACAAGGAGTCCTGGTGTGGCGCTGTGCATTAATGCACCAAACTGCAAAGCCAATTGAACTGCAAGGTCGATGGTTCAAGCTCACCAACTGCTTCTTGGAAACCCTATACAGGATCATTATGGGTCGGAACCAACTCAATGGCATGTAACAGCAATAATAACAATAGACAATAAACCCATTACCATAAAGTCAGTTCCGATTCATAGTGACTCTATAGGATACAGTAGAGCTGCTCCATAGGGAAGTAGCCAGCCTCATTGCTCTTCCAGGGAGCAGCTAGTGGGTTCAAACAGCCGACCTTGTGGTTTGCAGCTTAATGCTGAATGCACTTTGCCATTACAACTCCTTTAATAGATTACAGTCTAGTGAATTCATGTGGCTCATGTTGTTACAATATTTGTTTTTATTGTGATGGTTTGGGACTTAAACCATGTTATCTCCAAGGTACTTTGTATTTCTCTTTTCTATTTCTCTCACCATCACTACATGTCTTTGTTGTTATTGTTTTTAAGTGCTGTTGAGTCAGTTCCAATCCATAGCAACCCTGTATAGGGTTTCCAAGGAGTGGATGGTGAGCTTGAGCCGCCCACCTTGCTGTTCAAACAACTTTGCAGTCCAGAGCATTAACCTGCAGCACCAAACCAGGACTCCCACTACATGTCTTGTTGTTGTTAAGTGCCATTGAGTCAGTTCCGACTCATAGTGACCCTGTATAGTGTTTCCAAGGAGCAGCTGGTGAGATTGACCTACCGACTTTGCAGTTCAAATGGCTTTGCAGTCTGGCCCATTAACCCACAGCGCCACACCAGGACTCCACTACATGTCTAGACTACATGGCTGTTGTTAAGTGCCGTCGAGTTGGTTCCGACCCATAGTGACCCTGTACAGGGTTTCCGAGGGTGTAAATCTTTACGGGAGTAGAAAGCCTCATCTTTCTCCCGCGGAGTGGCTGGTAGTTTCGAACCGCTGACCTTAAGGATGGCTAGACTACTATTAAAAACTTCTGAGTAATTTTCCTGCCTCACTTTGCTTCTAACATTTTTCCAGCAAGTTCTACCTCAGAATGAATCTTACAATAAAAGTTTCATTATATCTTTCCTTTTCTCAGCTCCCTTAGTGATTCTCATTATCTAAACTCAGCCTGGCATTCTAAGTTCTTCATAATCTCACACCATACTGTTTCAGCTTTAGCTTCTCTTTTCCACCAGTGATTTGCTGCAGTTAAACCATTCTGCCTTCTAATCACATCTTCACTACATTGTATTTCCAACCTCAACTGCCTTTCCCTATGCAACTTTTCCTTTCTTAAAAGGTTACACTCCTTTTTGAAATTATGTTGAACCAAAAATCAGGACACAAGAGTTCTAGTCCCATTCTGTTGCTTATTAAAAGTGCTACTGTGCATACATCACTGAATTTGTTAGCAAAGGTCTCTTCTGCTATGCAATTAGAAGTCAGACTAGATGATTTCTAAGCTTCCCTCTAGTTCTTTAGTATAATCAGAGATGTCAGCTTCTGGATTTGTAATTATTATAATTTGTTTTTATTTTTATAGCCCGTTTTCTGTATTCTCATTTCAACACATATGCTATTCTATAATATAGTTTTCATATGTCTGTCCTTTCTATCTTAGGGGGGAGATAGACTTATCACTTTAGATTTACTTTTATGATGTTTATTTGATTTAAATATATATCATTGAAAAATGGGACTGAAATATGTATATTATTAGGAATTAAAATAAAGAGGTCATGAACATCTTTTTCTGACTCTAATGAAGTAACTTGTAATTAAACCTACACCTTCACTGAGAAAAACTGGACAAAGTATTTAAAACATTTGAGGGTTCTGGAAAGTTGCGAAGATAGCAAGGACTTGAGAAATCAGATCCTAAAAGAGAAGGAAAGTTCAAAGAAATGAATTCAACTGTCCACTTTTAGGTATAGCTCCAAAAGAAATGAAAATATATGTCTACACAAACACTTGTACATGCATATTCATACTGCAGTTATTCTTAATAGCCAAAAATAGAGACAACCAAAATGTCCATCTGCTGATAAATGAATAAATGAAAAGTTGTATATATAATGAAATAGAGTCCTTATATATAATGAAATGGAGTCCTTATATGGTGCTGTGGGTTAATGCACTGGACTGAAAAGTTGGTTTGAACTGAATGGTCGGTGATTCAAGCTCACTAGCCATTCCTAAGAAACCCTATACAGGGTCATTCATTATAAGTCGGAACTGACAACAATATAATGAAATATTTTTCAGAAATAAAAGGAAATGAAATACTGATCTGTGCTATAACATGGATAAACTGTGATCACATAGAATTCCATCTATATAAAATTCTCAGGATAGGCAAATCTATAGAGACAGAAATTTGAGTAGTGATGGACTAGCTGTATGGTAATGCACTGAACTATTAGCTGCGAGGTCAGTAGTTCATACCTACCAGCCACTACAAGGGAGAAAGATGAAGCTTTCTGCTCCTGTAAAGATTTACAGCCTCAGTAGGCCACTACAGGGTCGCTACATGTCAAAATTGAGTCTATAGCAGTGAGTTTTAGAGCTCAGAAGGTTAGGAGAAAATAGAGGCTGGACATAAGGGGTTTATTTTATGAATGATTAAAATAGTCTAGAACTGACTGTGCTGATGTTCTAACAACTCTATGAGTATATTAAAAATCATTGGATTGTGTACTTTATGTGAGGGACTTGTATGGTCTGTGAATTATATTTCACCAACTTAATTTTTGAAAATCATATGTTCTAGTCTGGAAAATTGAGTGGATTATATTATTTTCTAAAATAGGGAAAGACTGGCAGGAGAGAATTATAAGTTAAATATTAGCACCATAAAGTTTAGGAGACTTACAGGAAATGGAAATGAAGAGATCCAGAAATTGAGCTGTACATATCTGAAACTCAGAAGTGAGGTCTATACTGAAAATATTTGTGAGACATTAGCCTGCCAAAGAATGCCTAAATAGAGGAAAATCCTGAGGAAGACCAATATTAATAGGAAAGAAAATGAATAAAATAAAAGAGATGAAAAGGAAAGCCAGGAGTATGTGATATAAAGAAGGCCAGTGGAAGAGATTGCTTTAAGGAAGATGGGGTAGTTAGCTATGTTGAGTGCAACTAAGAGATGAGGTAAGATAGAAGGTGGTCAGTCATATTGGAAGAATGGGCTTTGCTTATATCTTGTTTGGGGAATGCTGTTAATTAAGATGAAAGAGATGTGACCATTTTTAGTGCCTATAAGAATGAACCCACAGGAGGGATACACACCAGATGAGGAGATACTCCATAGGGTAAGATTGCTGGTAATGATAAAGGGGAAATGAGCACAAGCAGCAAGATTAAATATAAGGAGGGATCATTTGTCTATGATCACAGGAGTGAGAAAGGATAAATAAAAGCAAATAGGTTTGTGAGGCCCTTGGTATAGATCCACCAGATTTTAGCTGCTAAAAGTCATGATGGAAGGATAATAGTAAATGATGTCGCAGGAGAATGGTTGATACATTAGACCTTGAAATGCAAGCTGGAGAGGAACTGATAAGGATGAAGGAGTTTATTCAGATATCTCGAGAGTGCTTGGTATGGTTGTGGTGGGGAGCTGAAAATGATATATTGTAGCCATGAAGCCCATACCAAACCCACTGTATTTGTATTGATGGACTATAAAGTGGAAATCTTTCAACAACCTAATGCAGCACTGGAGGCACTCACTGATCTATGCTGAGAAATTTTGAAGACAGCTACCTGGCCTACTGATTGGAAGAGATCCATATTTATGCCCAATACAAAGAGAGGTGACCAAACAGAATGCAGAAACCATCAGACAATATCATGAATATCACGTGCAAATAAAGGTTTGCTAAAGATAGTTTAAAAACGGTTGCAACAGTACATTGACAGGGAACACCCCCCAGAAGTTCAAGCTGGTTTCAAACAAGGACATGGAATGAGGAGATATAGTTGATGGCATCTAGTGTATCTTGGCTGAAAGCAGAGAATACCAGAAAGATGCATGCCTGTGTTTTACTGGCTTCCAAAAGGCTTTCAACTGTGTGTATCATGACAAATTATGGATAGCACTGGGAAGAATGCATATTCCAGAACACTTAACTGTGCTCATTAGGAGCCTGTACATACACCAAGAAGTAATCTTCAAACAGACATAGAACACTGAATGGTTTAAAATCAGGAAAGTTGTGGGCCAGGGTTGTTTCTTTCACCATAATTATTCAATCTAAATGCTGAGCACCTAATCTGAGAAGCTGAATAATATGAAGAAGAACATGGCATCAGGATTGGAGGAAGACTTCAACAGCCTGCAATATGCAAATGATGCTACCTTGCTTGCTAAAAGTGAAGACAACTTAAAATGCTTACCGATAAAGATCAAAAAACACAGCCTTCAGTATGGGTTACAACTTATTGTAAAGAAAACAAAAATCCCAGCACTGGACCAGTAAATAACATCCATATAAATGGAGAGAAGATTGAAGTTGTCAAAGACTTCATTTTCTTGTATCAACTATCAACACCTATGGAAGCAGCAGTCAAGAAATCAAATGACATATTGCTTTAGGCAAATCAGCTGTACAAGACCTCTTTGAAGTTTTCAAGAGCAAAGATGTCAGTTTGACGACTAAGACTAAGGTGCATCTGACTTGAGCCATGGCATTTTCAGACAATGACTAAGGAAGAACGTAGAATTCATGCATATGAGTTATGGTGTTGGTGGAGACTACTGAAAGTACCATGGACTGTCAGAAGAACATAAAGTTCAGCCAGAATGCTCTTTGTCTCTCATACTTTGTACATGTTATTAGCAGTGACCAGTCCCTGAAGAAGAACATCATACTTGGTAAAGTAGAGTATCAGTGAAAAAGAGTAGGACTCCCTATCTACTGCCCCCTCTCCACCCAACAAAATGGATCGTCACAGTGTCAGCAGCAATGGTCTCAAGCATAGCAATGATTATGAGGATGGTGCAGACCAGGCCAATGTTTCTGTTATGCATAGGGTCTCTGTGAGTCAGAGCCAGCTTGGTGGTACCCAGCAACAACAAACCCACTGTCATCTAGTCGATTCTGACTCCTAGCAACCCTATAGGACAGGATAGAAATGCCCCTTTTGGTTTCCGAGACTAAATCTTTATAGGAATAGATAATGTCATCTTCTCCTGCAGAGCAAAGAGTAGGTTCGAATTGCTCACCTTGTAGTTAGCAGCCCAATGTGCAATTCACTCCACCATCAGAGCCCTTTTTTGTGGGCATAGCTTATAGATATATGTGATGTCAATGGAGGAATAGTTCTACGTTGAGATGGTGTTTAGGACGTAGTCACTAAGGTTGCGTAGTACCGGGCAGAATGCCCACTAGATCATCCATGTAGATGCTGAAGTCACCCAGAGTGAAAGCAGTACCTTGAGTAAAGTGGGGACATGGTGTCATTTCTGAAATTCATTAGGAGGAAAACTTTTTCTCACAAAAGGGGAAAAAAGAATGTCAAAAACAAAGGACTTAAAATTAGGGTTTTGGAAGGAATCATTACATTTTTATGTCTAAATCAAATTGCTAACACTCAGTTTTTAAAACTTGCTAGCAATGAGTAAAATTAAATTTAAGTTTTTATTTTGAATTGAGTGATAGTTTACATGAGAGAGCATCAGTTTTACACTCATCATTTCATTGCAATGATTACAATCTCCACACATCATCATTCAACACTATCTGCTTCTATTCCCTCTGGGTTTTTTCAGGGACGTAGGGGGTAGGATTGTACATAAAAATACTCAGTAATATATAATTATTTAAACAACCAAAGGGCACATTCTGCAAGCCTGCCTCCTGGCCACCAGCACCCAGTCCCTCTCTTTCCATGAGTCTAGAGCCCTCAGCTGCTCTCTCTCTCCATGTCCCCATCTCTGCCTCCATCACTGGTGTCGCTGCTGCTTTTCTGGATAGGGTCCCAAATTCCGCTCATGCTCTTCCCCCTTGATGGTCCTAGGGTCCTCTGTTTCTGAACTGCAAAATTAACTACTCCCTCCTTTTTGTTACAAAACTTCTACCTTTACAATTTTGACAGTTGCAATTAGTCATGATAACAATTATAAACTGTTGAATCATAAGAATCTTATCCCCATAAAATGTTCCTTTTGTAATTATAATTAGAACTCATACTTTTAAAATGTCTTTTGATTATCAGACTGCGGATGTGTTTCATTTTGAGGAAACAGTTTATAGTCATCATATGTCTCCAGTTGCCACCAAGCACTGTTTAGTAGCAGGTTTGTATATGTATTCTTTTGTCTATTAGCATATTGAAATTTTTCTTCCTTTTTGTATCTACTTACTTTTGACATAGACATTTTAACCAATGTGAATATCACTATTCTTTAAAAGAAAAATAAGAAGAAGAACGAAAACTTAAATATGTCACTACTATTTGTATTCAGTTCAACAAATATTGTTCTAGTCAGGTACTATGCTAGTGGCCAGGTGTCAAAGTTTAAGAATGTATATTTCTATCCCTTAAAGAGTTTACTTGTTAACCATGGAAGTTTCATTGATGCCAAAAATGTGATAACTCTTTAATTGAAGATAACAGAACAAGGAAATTATTGTCTCTCTTTAAGATTATATAAGTCACCTTAGTACAGAGGTACCTGAAATACTAATTTTCATGTATGGGGATGAAAGAGATCCTTTTCTGTTATCGTGTCAGATCTCTGTAATTCCATTGCTTCTGTGGTACTGTGCCAGTCTCTTCACCACTGGACACCATTGAGCTGCTTCATCAAGACAAACTGGACACTTATTTATTATGATGTTTTAATACTGATAGGAAGTATATCATTTACATGGAAAAACTAAGCTATTACAGTTAAATTATTTGTTATAATAAAATGGTACAGAACTATTCAAATCCATTGTACCATTTTAAATTTCCTGATTTTAATCCTGTACCATAGCTCCTTAAGGAACCTGTATGAAGAGTGCAGGGGACCTTCCTGTATTATCTTGGCAAGGCCTGTGAATCTATAACTACTTCAAAATAAAAAGGTAAAAAACAATGCGGTTGTAGAGTTGTTTTACTACTAAAGTATAGCTATTGTTGAATTTTTTTTTTTGCTAATTTAAATTTTTTTTTAATTTTTGTAACATAGTTTTTACATTTCTATAAGGATACAATAAAAATTTCATTGTTACAGTATTAGTCTCTTATTTCTCTTAGATGATGATTTGTAATAAAATTATCTCTTTAAATTTTTTTTTGTTTTTACAGTTGGTACTAGAGGGCCCAAAGTACAACTCTGTGACTTGAAGTCTGGATCCTGTTCCCACATTCTTCAGGGTATTTTTAAATTTGAAACAATAAACATTCAATAAAAAGAAACATTACTAACAATGTATTCTTTGTAAGTGGCATGACTGATGTATTTTGTGCTGGTTGTTTAAAAGTCAACAGGGAAATAAAGATCCTTCTGTGCATTATTCTTATAAAACTGAACTATTGAGGAGACATTTATATGAACAATGGCCATCGGGATATGGAAAATTGATGGGCTTACTCAAAACCTACTTATTGCTACATTTACAAAAAACTACTAATGAAACTTTCCCAATACACTTGTGTCTCCTGAGCATTGTTAAATGTTCTTCTGGCTAATAATTAAACATTATTCATAATATTTAGGTACTGCTTTTCCTAAAAAATATTTTAGAAAAAAATGTTGAAATAATACTTTATTTGGAAAGCTGTATCCATTTAAATTATTTTTACTACAATTTTGTTAGTATTAGATCATCTAACTCCAAACAATGAGAAGATGGAATATAAATTCATAATCATTTTTATTCATCTCTAAGACAAACATAAGTGTATTAAGAGAAGTTGGTAGGAGAGAGAGCATTCTTAAATATCATAATGAATTGCTATTAATATAAATGAGACAAATAAAACTGTCTGGTTTGAATAGTTCAGGTAAGCAAAAATTGAGTCACTGTGTGAATATATGTCCTGTGCTTTTTCAGAAAAAATATTATATAAATGCGCTTTTGCAGTGATGAATTAAAATTTTTCTTGTCTGTTAAGACTTTCTGAGAAATTGAAAAGCAATTTTATTCTTTAGAATTTTTATTTTGTATGGTTTGTTAAAGTGACTGTTAAAGAGGGAAATAGTTGATGGTGAATTCTGTCAGTTATTGATAGATTTACTTGCATAGACTATTTTTAAAAACTCACTTGCTTTAATTGTTCTAAGGCAAAACTTATTCTTATATTAATCAAATATACTTCATGCTCCATAAATTTCACCTTAATATTTAAACAGACTGTTATAAAAAGGAAATCTGGTGGTACAGTGGATAAAGCATTTAGCTGCTAACTAAAAGATCTTTAGTTCAAACTAAGTAGCTGCTCCACTGACCAAAGAACATGGCAGTTAGCTTCCAGAAAGGTTTACGGCCTTGAAATTCTGCTCTGTCCTGTAAGATCACCATAGTTGGAATCAACTCAACAGCAATGGGTTCAGTTTGGTTTTGATTATAAATGATTTTTAAAACATTAATGATGATCATATCAGTTACTTCACTTTTAATATTTAATCTGTGCTTTTTTCAAAATCATATAAATATTACTACTTTATCTTTTGTTTTTGTTTTTTCACATATTTTGCAAGACTTTTAATACAGCTGTATTTTATAGGTCACAGACAAGAAATACTGGCAGTTTCTTGGTCACCACGTTATGAATTTATCTTGGCAACTGCAAGGTAAAATGCACTTTATTTGATTCTGAAGTTGGTATAAGTAATTTATGATACCCATTTTGAAATGACAACATTTATTTAGATCTAGTTTTGCATGTTTTGTTATTAATTGTTGTTAACATTTGTTGAGTAGGTTCCAACTCCACGACCCCATATTGGGTTTCCTAGGAGTGGCTAGTGAGTTTGAACCACCGACCTTGCGTACTCCTAGTTCTTCAAAATTATTAAATACAGATACAGATTGTAATTCATGTCATCAGAAGAGATAATCTACCTCAAACTTGACCCTGACTATTCTTGATGAAGATTGTCTCCCTTTTAAACAGAGAGACTAGAACAAGGGAATCTATATAAATGCAAATATACTAACCACCAGCAAAATAACTCTGTCATTTTTGTATAATATTATGTATTGTTGTGTTGTTGCAAGTGCCATCAAATCAGTTCCAACTCATAGCGACCCTGTATAGGGTTTCCGTAGAGCAGCTGGTGAGTGTGAACCACTGACTTTGCTGGGTTCAAACAGAACTTGCAGTCCAGTGCATTACAGGTTCTGTTTTGTGTTGTTAAATGCTGTCAAGTCAGATTTTGTTGTTTGTCGGGGGTCCTATGTCGGGGTCCCGCCTCAACAAAAGGAGTGCCTCGACGAAGCGTGGGGTTTTAACGTGAGTGGGAGATCTGGTAGGCGAAAGAAATAGATTAGACACAAAGAAGACAGACACACATGTTTGATGCAAGCTGTCAGGCAAGCTAGCACAGCATAGCATAGCCTAGCGTAGCAAGACTAGCTTTGCCTCAGTCTTTTATTCGTTTTCAGATCAGGGAAATCAAGGCAGAGGAGGTACAAGTTTAATGTGATTAATTATCTGAAGAGGGTACAAAGTGATTTCACAGAATCTCATGCGTCATTCAGATCTTAGAAAATTATCTTGTGCTCAGAAAATGATCCTGTGCTCAATTCTTAGCCAACCATTCTTCCTGAGTTAAAGGTGCAGGCAAGCAATTATTGGTTTAAACTTTAACTTCATGGGCTCCAGTGGCCCAGGGCAGCGACTTGTGATACCCAAAGCACATGATTTGTTTGTTACAAAGAACTACAAGTAAATTTTAAGAAAAGTTAGCTAAAAAGAGCCAAGTTAAGTGTTCATTCTAATTCCTTCTGCGTATGTTATGCATGAAAGGTACATGGTTTCATTTGTGAACAAAATTATAAGCAGTTAATCGAAACCTAATCTTCTCTATATGACTTTTATACTTTCAGGGAAGTC